CAGCAAGGACACAGGATAATCCTGGTGTTCGAACATAAGTTATGTACTTGGAGTGCAAGTTGCAGTCACGATGAAACGGTAACACGAGAAACCAGACCCTATTTTATACTGGAATGTGATGCGTATGTATGGTAGTCCACTACCACTTGCCGTCCCTCTGATTTCCATAGTGATAAAAATGCGCTACCACGTCTCTCATCCGTAAAATTCTAAGCGCTATAAAAATTCTGGCACAGCACTGCCGTAAAATGTCTCTTCGAATTAGCGTTAAAGAGACCCGAATAGAACTTAATTTCAGAATTTTCAATTTTAAAATCAAAAGAAAAATGAAGGAGTTTAATATTTTTAACAAAGTTTCGATGAGGTTTTGAATATTGGCTTAATATTACTATCAATCTTTGGAATACTAATACATTTTTATTGGTTTTTTTTTAAAATAAGAAAAAAAATTACAATAAGAAAAAAATAATATATAAGAATGTATATTATTAATGTATATTACTGAATATTAATGTATATTATTTTTTTATTGATTTCTTAAAATAAAATTATGAGCTCTAAAAATATTTATGCATAATGAATAATGCCCGTTTTGATTTATTTAAGTAGAATGACTGGAAGAATTAAATATACAATCGCTGATCAATTATTCAATAACTACACGAGAGTAGTAATTTTCATGGCAAAATAGATGGAGAATTTATTAATTTATAAATTTTGTTTTGAAATTGTATTTTTAATCACTGAACCTTCTATAATGAGAGAAAACCGTTTAGAATGTAAATGAATGATGACAAAGCACGAGGATATTAATGAAAAGATCATTAGTGCGGTACAAGTGCGAGTCTAATAAAATGCGGGAATGATGTAACAGCCATGTGTCTTCTTTAACTCGTAATATATGTACTGAGGATGTTCCAACACGCACGCGATTTACTGATACATAACAGGCAGTAAGCTATACTATTTTATGCGCGCGTTCAAGTGATGGATTCTCATATACGAGTATATCCAAACTTTTCTTTTTTTTTTTTTTTTTTTTACATTTTCAATCGCACAGTGTTTCTATCGCGGATACTTGAAATGTTAACTGCGCAATTTCGTCCCGCTACCTATTACTTTACACAGGCAGAGCTTACACAGGGAGAGCCTTTCACGGAGCGAAGAGTACAAGTATCTTATAGGTATGTAGCATCAACGATATATTACGCGGTGTAATAAATACCGAGTGCCGGTGACAGAACAATCCTTACCCACTACCACCACGTGGCCGAAGACCTGGTCGTTGGATACGTGGGAACAGTTCCAACGGTGATGTCGGAACTGGTGCCGGCACTCGCGCAGACCCAATGCGGCGCCTTCGCCCACCGCCGGCATCGCGTGCGGCGCTTTTCTGCACTGCTCGCGTTGACTTTTCGCCAATCCAGGGATGCGGCTGCAGACAGCCGCGCCGACCACCACCGCTCCGACCACCCTGGAATAAAGGGATCCGTCCGTGAGAAGTACATATATAAGTGAGAAGATAAATAAGCAATGAATATTTTGATGTACGTGTAGATATGTACTATTTTATAACATTATTTTTTAATACAGCGAGAGAATCTTAGTCTGTATTTTTAAGAGGGAAGGATTTTTAATAGTTGCCATAAGATATTATAATTATCTAGCTTTATGTGTTCCTTTTCCTCGTAACTGGGTAAACATATTTTGTTTTCGTTCTCTTAAATATAATTAAGTATTTCATATTCGTATAATAAAATCTGAAATGAGATAGAATAACTTATATTAAAAAATTCCTAAGAAGCAAGTGATTAGAAAAGTAATTAAAAATTTCACGAGGATTTATCTTTACCGTCTTAATTTCGACATCTTGATGAGTAAACTATAAACAGAGCGGTTAACAGGTGCTAAAACCGATCCGATGACAAGCTGAAACTTGATATCCTCAGTCTCCTGCTGGTTCATCGCTTAATTTATATCCTATAAAGCGTTTTTCTGAAGTATTCTTTAAAAGAAAAGTGATTATCGGTATTTTTAATTCTCTCTTTTTATGAAAAGAAAGAATAATAGAAAGACTAGAGACCGATACATCATTTTGAAGATGATTTATAAAATCGTGCGGTTCATCCATCATTCCGAAAGAGCTATAAATATACCCTTCATTACGAACCACTTACGATTCTGTTATTCCTTCCCGATCAGCAATGAAATATTAAGGCGCTCGAAAGTACTCGAGGGTGAGTTATCAAGTACTGGGTCGGGGGGCGGGGGGTGGGGGTGGAATGAGGTAAGAGAGTATCAGGCTTCAGAGAGGATCGTAGAAGAGAGGAGATGTAAGGCGAGCAGGTTGAATTTCTGAGAAGCATGAAATTGCGACGATTACGCCGTGTCCCCAGGGCGAGAGATATTTGCATTGGAATGCATCGCGCTGGATCTCACAGTGGCCGAATCTCTCCTCGTGGCCACGTGGTGGGACAATCTGTAGGATGTCCTGACGACGAACATGAGAAGAAGGGGCTATGGCGTGCCGCCGTGAAAACGAGCCGGTCCGAAATCGCCCGGAGGGACTTCGTTCCTCGTCACGTCGCTTTCGCGAGGCATAAACGAGAAAGACGTTGACGCGAGGGATCCCGTCATCGTTCCTTTCAAAGATTTGGCATGCGCATTCATGATTTCTCGTTGACGGGAAGATGCAATCGAGCAAGGGGCTTGCCGAGATGGAAACAAAAAAAATAGAAAGAGAGTAGAACGCTCCACGTCATTTCTCATAATAAATACGAGATAGTGAAAAGGAGGCTCGTTCTTCGTGTCGTTTGATTCCAGACAACGTTACGTTGTGACAATGTAACGCTGCGTGTATTGGATTAACCAGAGGTGCGCTAGAGAAATGAATAAATCTGACGTTATCCGATTGCAAGAAGGCGGTAAAGTTAAACGTAAGCGGTTACGTTCTCCTTAATTACGTGCTAGGTACGTTACTCGTTAACCTTAATTAAACACGAGTTGCACCATGACGATGCCCCGAAGGCATGTCATGAACGGACAGGGGATAGCGGTTACTCATTTGTCTTCATTGCTCGTTACTTAGTTAAGATGCACTTTATCACGATTATGTCTGATGAATTGTTACAGCACTTGTCATTTGACGATTCTAAATTGATAATTGTTTTATGTTTTTTCATACTTATATTCCGACTTTTATATTTTTAAATAATCTAATTAGTATTATTATA